AACCTCCAAATAACCCAATACTTATCCAACAAAGCAGAGAAAACTAACACCAAACCAATAAATATACTGTATACGTTGGAGGAAAAACTAAGGAAGAGGCCTCTCAATATTTCCTAAGATTGCTTGCCCTAATGTGAGTGTAGTATACTGCTTCTTGAGGCTAAGAATGCATGATGTCATTTTTGATCTAATTATTGCAAACAACCCAATGTTCCTTGCTTTGCATAAAAGAAGAGTATTGTCTTACTTCTGGTTGCAGCATTTATGGGTCTTTTGGAGTATTTCATGTCATTGTTGGCAAATGACTCCCCACCACTTGATTACTGTGCATTGTGGTAGGAATGCCCACTCCCTTTTGACCATTTTGTCCTGGCCAATTCTGAAGGTACTGTCCCCTGATGGGTTTTGAACCTCTGTGCTTTTTTCTTTTTCTTTGATGCAGTAAAAGTCTGGGTTTTTTTAAAAAAAAAAAAAAATAGTGACCAACGAACCCAAGACATTTTTTGTTTCTTCTGAAAGGCTCACAAGTGGAGAGTTCAAATGGTGGACTTTCTACTTTTTAACTGAGTGAAATTGATAAAAGTTCCATTAGAGCTCAAATGACAAGAAGATTAGTAAAACTCCAATCGACCAGTGGATGCACTGGGTAGGAAAGTGTGGAATATGAAGGAATGTCAACCAAGAAAGACTCTCCCAAAAGATCTACATATATGAAATGAAACTAACTGGTGCTTATTTTCCGAGATGGATGAGAGGTATAAAAGACCAGGGCAGTCCATTAATCAAAGAAAATATTGCTAGACAGAATACCTGGCTGCCTTTGTTGTCAAATCTGAAAAGCAATTTCTTAAGCTGGTTTTATTTCTATCCAGCACAGAAGACAAGCACCTTAAAACTCCCGGTGCAGAAGATCCCTTACCATGCAATGCATATTTACTGAACTGTAGTCATCTTCATGCAGATAATTTTCATTCTACCATATTCTACCCACAGTCATTTTAAAAATAACCCAAACATATAAATTTATTTTATTTTATTTATTTTTCATATTTTTAAACCACCCAGCTCCATCAAAGAGGGGTTCTAGACTGTATAAATCACAACCACAACTTACACCAGTGGTTCTCAATCTGTGAGTCGCGACCCCATTTGGGGTCGAACGACCATTTCACAGGGGTCGTCAAACAATGCAGTCTGCCATTTTTTCTCCCTTTTCCTTAGCTGTGCTACTCCCTCTTATTCTATTGGCTTTTGAAAGCTAATAGAATAGACTCTATTCAAGAGACTTTATTCTATTGGCGTTCAAAAGCCAATAGAATCTATTGGCGTTCAAAAGCCAATAGAATCTATTGGCTTTCGAAAGCCAATAGAATAGACTCTCTTGAATAGAGTCTAATTCTATTGGCTTTCAAAAGCCAATAGGAATTGTCCAGGCTGTCTCTGCCCTGCTGAGCCCGCCAAAAGCCCCAGTCTGCAAATGATGCTGCAAGTTGTCTGCAGCTAAGGCGAGTTTTCTGGATGTTTCCACCCCTCCCTGCTGAGCAAGTACTAAATGTAAGTAAAAGAGGGCCAGGGGTGGGAGGTGGGAGGCTGGCGGGTGCAGGGAGGGTTGCTGGTGCGTGTGGGGCCTGGCGGGTGGCTTCCCTCCCTTGGGCTGGGCCAGCTGGTGGCCCAGCCGGTGGTTGGCCTGTGCCCTCGCTGCCACATGCCATGGCCGCCCAGGAGTGCCTGGGCCTGCCTGCCGCCACACCGAATGTGCAATGGCCAAGGTAAGGCTAGCAGGGCAGTGGTGGGCGCAGGGACGGTTGCTGGCATGCGTGGGGCCCGGCGGGTGGCTTACCTCCCTTGGGCTGGGCCAGCTGGTGGCCCAGCCGGTGGTCGGCCTGCGCCCTCGCTGCCGCGTGCCATGGCCGCCCAGGAGCACCTGGGCCTACCTGCCGCCACACCGAACGTGCAGTGGCCAAGGTAAGGCTAGCGGGGCAGCAGCGGGCACAGGGAGGGTTGCTGGCACACGGGCCCAGCGGGTGGCTTACCTCCCTTGGGCTGGGCCATCTGGTGGCCCAGCCGGTGGTCGGCCTGCGCCCTCGCTGCCGTGTGCCATGGCCGCCCAGGAGCACCTGGGCCTACCTGCCGCCGCACCGAACGTGCAGTGGCCAAGGTAAGGCTAGTGGGGCAGCAGCGGGCAAAGGGAGGGTTGCTGGCGCACGTGGAGCCCAGCGGGTGGCTTACCTCCCTTGGGCTGGGCCAGCTGGTGGCCCAGCCGGTGGTCAGCCTGCGCCCTCGCTGCCGTGTGCCATGGCCGCCCAGGAGCACCTGGGCCTACCTGCTGCCACACCGAACGTGCAGTGGCCAAGGTAAGGCTAGCGGGGCAGCAGCGGGCACAGGGAGGGTTGCTGGCGCACGTGGGGCCCAGCGGGTGGCTTACCTCCCTTGGGCTGGGCCAGCTGGTGGCCCAGCCGGTGGTCGGCCTGCGCCCTCGCTGCCGTGTGCCATGGCCGCCCAGGAGCACCTGGGCCTACCTGCCGCCACACCGAACGTGCAGTGGCCAAGGTAAGGCTAGCGGGGCAGCAGCGGGCACAGGGAGGGTTGCTGGCGCACGTGGGGCCCAGCGGGTGGCTTACCTCCCTTGGGCTGGGCCAGCTGGTGGCCCAGCCGGTGGTCGGCCTGCGCCCTCACTGCCGTGTGCCATGGCCGCCCAGGAGCACCTGGGCCTACCTGCCGCCACACCGAACGTGCAGTGGCCAAGGTAAGGCTAGCGGGGCAGCAGCGGGCACAGGGAGGGTTGCTGGCGCACGTGGGGCCCAGCGGTGGCTTACCTCCCTTGGGCTGGGCCAGCTGGTGGCCCAGCCGGTGGTCGGCCTGCGCCCTCGCTGCCGTGTGCCATGGCCGCCCAGGAGCACCTGGGCCTACCTGCCGCCACACCGAATGTGCAGTGGCCAAGGTAAGGCTAGCGGGGCAGCAGCGGGCACAGGGAGGGTTGCTGGTGCACGTGGGACCCAGCGGGTGGCTTACCTCCCTTGGGCTGGGCCAGCTGGTGGCCCAGCCAGTGGTCGGCCTGCGCCGTCACTGCCACTTGCCAGCTACACCTTGGCCGACGCAGGGGGCGGCACCACGCATGCGCAGTGCTCCCGGGCTGAGGCGGTTGCTGGGCAACGATCTATGTGCAGCCGCAGGAGAGGAGGCAGAGCATGCGCGCGTCCTCCTGCCCTGCCCGCAGGGAAATACAGGTAGTCCTCGACTTACGACCACATGGTTGGGGTCGCAGCATTAGGAAGGTTGAGAACCACTGACTTACACTGATTTCCTTTAAAAGAAAAAATATTCATCTTTCTTTTTCAAATGACAAGTTTTTATCCTAACAATCTTGTAGCTAGCATGCATGTAGTAAGTAAAATTTGAAGGGTTTCTTTTAAATTAGAGGGAAGAAATAGAAATTTTCCTATACTTTCAGAAAGAACTGAGTCATACTGTGTGTCTTTCAAAAGGCTGCTAGCCTCAGAAACAAGGAGTTGAAACAAAAATCTGTCATGCAAAGGTAACATTACACTAATCCCACTTAAAATATATCATTTTCACGGGGAAAATCTATCTCCATAGTTGCTTAGAGTTGACAGGGACTTAATGGCATATAATCAACATACAGTATATAATTTACTTATTTCTAATTCAGATGGTAGATGAAGGAACGAGTAGAAAACCTCTCTCCTTGAATAAAAATTATACAATATTTTCTACTGAAACATCTACAAAGATAATGAAATATCTGCAAGAAAACAAGCAAGCTCAGAGAGCACCAAGGACCCCTCATTGCAACCCTGAGCTACAGATATTCTCCTTCATTGGTAACACATGTACCCATACAAATAAAACACTTGTTTTTACAGATATGAGAGCTATGCAAATATTTTGAAAGAAATGCTTCACAATACATAATGCTTCCAAGCTGCTCTTTCTGTTGTAGTTACAGATATGCAGAGCTCTTTCCTCCCCCCTCCCCTCCCCAAAAAACTGTTCCTAGTTCTCCCTGCACAAGCATGACTCAACAGAATGACTGTTACTGTTATATGCATGAGAAGACAACCAGAGCAGCTTTTGAAGCAGCTTTTCAAGCAGCCATGCTTGCCTGGAAAAAGATGCTGCTAGCTGCTGCATCAACCTCTCAAAAAGCAGCTTCATACACACTTCCATGCATTCTGAAGAGCCTTTTTTTGAAAGATTTGCCTTGCTGTAATAAATATGCTTGCTTGAATGCTTTGCATGAATGTTTGTTGATACCCACTTGCCTTTGATTCTCAGCAATAACACTTTAGTCTTAGAAAAGTGTGATCACAATTATCCACGAGAAAATGCCGATCTGTTGGTATATCTAGATCTGCCGCCATCTGTTCTTATTTACTTTTCAAATATTTGTGGTGGTGCCTCAGTGGTGGAATTCATAATGTGACAACTAGTGAAAATGGCCAATAAGAGCCTGTTGGATTCATGGGCAGCAGCAACTCTGGCAATAGCAACTCTGAATCTGGTCCCACCATCCAGATCCCACTACATAAAGCAATAGTGGCAACCTTTGGCATGTGTGCCAGAGGGGGCACTCAGAGCCCTCTCTATGGGCATGTGCACCGTTTCCCCAGCCCCGCCTCCCCCCGCAGCCCCTCTTCCCCAGCAATCCCCCTGGAGGAGAATCGCCCCGGATGTGGCCCGCATGGAGCAGCACAGCCAAGGACATGGCAGCTGGGCAGAGGGGACAAGACTCCGCCCTCAGGCCCCATCGCGCGCAGATGATGCCATGGCACTGCTGGGCTGCCGGGTGATATGCTGCGGTAGGCCGTGGAGGCAGTGGGTGGCCCTGCAGGGGGGCGGGGGCAGAGTGGGTAGGGAGGAAGGGGCGGGGGTAGTTTTTGGGCACTCAATCTCTAAAAGGTTCACCATCATTGGCATAGGGGATATGCAGTGATTGACTGCCTTTCCTAAAAATTCAATTGCTCTGATTCAATAGTTACCTGAGATTCATCCCAGCCAGTAAGATAGATGTTGTAGCTGAGAAAATCTGTCTGATTCTTTTCTTGCGTTTGAGTCTCTACTGATTGCAAGAGATCAGCAAACCATTCAAAGGCATGGGTATCTCGGCAGAGCCAATAAAAATAGATCTGGAAGGAATAAAATTGAACATGTTCACATTATTAGATCCTCTCTAGTTAGATGAATTCGTTCACTTTTTTTTCTCTTAAACCCACAAAGTACTGTCACATGTGACAATCCCTTGGCTATAACAATATAGATACCAACCTAGCATAAAAGTGAAAGGAACAGAAATATTTAAAATATGACTTGATTTTTTTCATTCAGGTAAGAGAAACATCAACATACAACTGGAAAAACCCAGCTGTCTTTCCCAGTTTCAACTGTCCTAATTATCATTATTTCAAGAGATCAATAAGCTCATGTTTTAAAAGCCAGTCTAATGCATTTTCAAAAGAACACTAAACTCTTACATAGTGAGCTTGAATACCTGATAAGTGTCAGACATCACTCAGGCAGATGTTCAATCTCACTAAGCCAAAATAGGTAGTCTCTGTCATCAGGGTCTTGCTGATTTTGTCACATCTGGAAGCATTGCTGCTTTTCTGTGGCTTTTACCAATAAGGATTTTGTGTGACCATATTTTTTCTCTGTTCTTATTATTACTATTTCTGACTCACTAGAAATGTCTGTGACTGGCCAATAAGACTCACATGTAGTTCCAATTTGCATGTTATTATTTGTGTAGTATCCTATTTAACTTAGTTCCCTTGGAAAAGTGCCATTTTCTCTGCTCCATTCCAACTTCGGAAGTTTTTTGTCGTTATGCTTGGAGCAATAGGAGCAGGCAAATGCCAATTGCTAACTGCATCAGCAACCAAATAGTCAGTGAAGAATGCCTAATTTTTTCATAGAAAATTATGTTAGAAAAAGGGAGAAACACTGTTTTAAAATCAGGAAGAAAATGATTATGTTAAGCTGCTTTTGATAGTAGCTGGGGTAAAATAAAAGAAATATGAGAACATAGCAGATAAAGATGGAGAAGGGTGGAGAATATTTGGATGTGAAGTACTAGTTTTGCACATAGACATACTCATGAGTGAATCACAGCTGAGTGTATATGGCTCCCCATTTTTATATATGCTATTGAATGCTAGAAAACAAGTGTTGAATGCTCAGGAACAGATCGGGGACATACCTTTTTGAGTGTTAGGTCCATGGCATTATTGCAGTACTTGTACCACACAGATTTGAGGATTGATGCAAAAGGGGTAACCCCAATGCCAGCTCCAACAAGCATCACAGTTTCATAACTGAACACATCTTCACTAGCAGTACCAAAGGGACCATCTACAGCTATCCTAGAATGGGAAGATAAAATTTCAGATTTTATTGTTTTATTGAACGATTATAATATGACTCATTATTGCTGAGTCATATTATAATAATTTACCACCAGGCTGAAGCCAACCTTATTCTATTTAGGGACTATTCCATATTTTGAAAAATTGTGTTTCTTTATTTTAAGTGTGATCAGAGTCCATAATAATAAAGCAAAGATAGTACCAATAATAGGCACCTTCGGTGCAATCCCAAAACTTTTGGATCACCACTTGAACACATTGGCACAGACAAAATCATCAGTCAGTTGCAAAAGGCAGCTTTATTTAGAACAGCTTATATCCTGCAATAAAACCTTTAAGACCATCAAGCAATGACATCTGCCTATCCCAGGCAGCTTTTCTGCAACAGTTTACATCCACAATACCTTTAATTCATTGAACAAACATCTATCTATCCCAGGAAGGATTTGATAGGTGGATAAAAGTGCCAAATCCAGTCTAAATATCTGGCTGACTATGCGACAAGCCAGAATAATAATTATAATGCACTCTCATTTGAGTTCCCAGTGCTGATAAACTCATCTCTTTGTGTCAAGGAATATCTAATCTTTCATAGTACAATTAAGCCATTTAAGATTTTTTTCCCCATTTTGATAGTGAATAGCATTGAAAGGGTCCAAACTTAATTGACACTTTATAACATGACATTTCATAGAAAATATAATTATTATGATGAGTACATACTTAGGAAGTTTCCAAGCTTCTTGGAGTTGTTCTTTGTCACAGCCACATGCTTTAAACAAACCTTCTGTCCAGTCCCCTACAACACGTATGTGAATGCTGAAATAATCTTCTTCAGGGGCCGAAGTCAATGTGAAAGGATGCCATTCCAGTACAGACACTTCAGGACATTTGACAAAAATGTACTGTCCAACTTCCATCTTAAAGCCTTTCTTTTTCATCTGGAGCTCAAAGGTTTGGAAAGGATGTGTGACAACCTGACACAAGAAATAAAATTCTCAGAAGGCCAGAGAAAATGAAAGTTTGTCCTAAGTTAACACAAGTTTGATAAAGGAAGTAATCATTATTCTTTATTTAGAATAATGATTTGAATGAAAATGTTACTTCCATAATGATTAACTGTTAAATATATTAATGCTGGGAAGAGACTTCCAAATAAATATATTAAATACTTTGATGATTAATTTGGAAGTTTCTTCCCAGCATTGGGTCTCATTATCTGTAGATATCACTGATGACAAGGCGACAACAAAATGTCTAACATTTTGAGTGGCATGACTCTTACCTTTGTAACAACCACTTTTTGCTGTGAGCGCCAAAACCTCACCAGTCTCTCACAAACATACAGAATCATAGGGCCAACGACCCATTTCCATGTCTGTCAATAGAATGAGTAAAAGGAGAATGAAGAATTGTTCAATTTTTCTTAATGTTCACACATGACACTATTCCGTGAATTCCTCTAACATGGTTCAGCTGACACCATGGTTTTCAAACCACAGTGGCTAAATACATACCACATGTTCAACTAAAACTCAATCACTTTATGATTTAGCACAAGATGTGAATCCACTCATTCTCTTAAATAGAAAGATGGCTGCTTTGTATGTACCAGAATTTGTGTCAGTTGTGCAATTGGACAGGGCTGGTTGTATAGCCCTCTTGTATAGATAAGTTTGTTGTCTGCAAAAGCTTACAGTAATTAGTTAATAGGAAACTTTCTCAAATCTCTAATTTCAGAAGTCTATTTCTGCTAAGAGAGATGTTGTCCGTCGTCTGAAACTATTCTTGAACATATGAATGAAAAGATGTTTACATCAAATATTTATAATGTTGTTCATATGGGTTATGGTCTGATTGAACCTGCAACTGTTTTCTCTAATTTTCCTTTCTTTCAGCAAACTCTAATATTAACATTAAAAATTCAGCAGTCTTTCCAGCTGTGTAGTATTATTTTTTTTAATAAAGAAGCAATAGATCATACCATGGGAGGATTTCCAGCAAACTGTGGTTTAGGACATGAAGACATTTCCTCCCAGACTGTGTAATTTGAGGCACAATTTTCTGGTTTATGGTCTTCTAAGCTCTTTTTGGTCTGTCCACGAACGATTCTTCTGCAAATAACACCAAACATTAGTAGAAACAATACATCCACAGAAATTAAAGTATGACTGGAATATTTTCCACTAATTCTGAATTCAACATATTAATAAAATATATATTTATTGATATATATTTCCCATGATAGTCACTCATTATATTTCAGACATTCACATTAAGCCATGGTATAATCATGGTATGTTAAAAACACCACACATATTGTGGTTTATACATCACACTAAATCAGAATGAACAAACATTGTGTCATAGTACAATATGGGAAATAACAGTATGTTTTATTGCTTATTAAGTAATTTTAATTTATATACCTACATTTTAGCTACTTTCTAGTCCACACATATGGGCTATGTAATTTAAACAGTTGCATATTTTGAACAACAACCATCGATCCAGTTACATATATCTTCAAGTTCAGTGTTAAAAAGCAAAACATTATGAAATAAGCCCATTCATATTAGCTGTTTCAGGAGCTCACATTTGGTTATTTCGAATTATGACTCAGACTGGATTTGAATCAGCCCCAGATTGCATGACCAGTTGGGAGTTATAGTCTAAAGCAGGTGCCCCCAACCTTTGGGCACCAGGGACCAGTACTGTGGACAGAGTTTTTTCTGCAAACTGGAGGGGGCGTGGTTTCATGTGGTACCTGCATCCTGCAGATGGGACTTTGCTTGTTTGCGAGGCCCAATTTCTGGCATGCAGTGGATCGGTGCCGGTCCACAGACTGGGGTTTGGGACCCCCAGTCTAAAGCTATCAGGTTAAAAATGATTCTATTACAGACTACAGTCATTTATTGTTCTGATAGATCGTCCTAAGATAGCCTCTTTGATACTGTTTCTAGGCAGTTCTTGAATGTGATATCTGAATAAGTGCAGAAACTTACCCAAATCCATGGATGACAAGACCAGCAAAAAAAATAACAAAGAGATGGTGAGTAAACCAGAATACTTCAAAGTATGATCTGCGAATGGTTTTGGTGGATGATGTGATGATTAGTATTAGACACAGTGTAATGATAACGCCACTGAGGCCAGCCAAAGTTGTAAATGCCACATAGAGGCCACCAATAGGGTTCTGGAAAGGAAAAAGCAGGTTGATATAAACACATCAAACACATCCATTCTGACAGAGTTGCATAACTTCTCTTGCTTCAAAGCCGAGGAACAATATCCCCAATATTGGAAGAAGGAATCTTTGCCTACCTTGCAAGAGTGGTTTTTTAAAGTTTCTTATCTGGCGGAAATGGCAAAAATTTCGGCTTTTTTAAAGGAGCAATCACAAGAGAAATTTTTTGCCGTATGGGAAAAATGGATAAATTTCATACAATACAAATTGGCTATAAAAAAATACCATTTAGCTTTTTCATAACTTGTATTTAAATTTGATATTTTATAGATTGTATTCTTTCTTTCTTTTCTTTTCCTTTATTTCTTTTTATTTCTTTTTTTTCTAAGTTTTTTTTAATGCTTATGTTTTTATTGTTATATATATTTTATTGTTAATTACCTTATAAGATGATTAATTTTTTTTAGAATTTTTAAAATTTTAATTAAGCCTATATTCAGCTCTGGGAAGCTCGGGGGGGGGATGGAGGGGGGTGGTTTGGGAGGGTTTGGGGGAGGGTTGTTTTATTTTTTGTTGTTGTTTTTTTTTGTTTTTTGTAAAACTTTTAAAAAATTTTCAATAAAAAAAAATATCCCCAAGGAAAAGCATTCTGTTAGGGGTAGTGATGATTATAGGGAAAAATAAAATCTATCTGTATGCATGCATGAGAAACAATAATTCTCTGGTTTTTCTCCCATCTCCTTACCGAAAGTTTTTTTCTGGCAAAATTCAGATAACTTTCGCCTGGGTGATCACCTAGATCAGACAGTACAGCCTTAATGGTTCCATTTTCTTCAGTGCGTGCATCCACCAATCTTTCAACGTTAAATAAATGTGCAATTGTATGGATTGCTGGGGAAAAATGGAAAATAAATAAAAAATGGGATAGAAAAATATATTAACACATTAAAGAGATAAATCACTTTTCAAATGCTTTGTTTTTTCATAGGGAAAGGTGCCTTTTTTGCTAACTATTTTGAAAACTGAAACATCCTATAAAACATAAAAACAAATCTATAAGACACATACTTTATAGATACAGCTCATTTTATAATAATAATAGTAGTAAAGTTGGAAGGGACCTTGGAGGTCATCTAGTCCAACCCCCTGCTCGGGCAGGAAACCCTACACCATTTCGGACAAATGGCTGTCCAGTCTCTTCTTAAAAACTTCCAGTGTTGGAGCATTTACTGCTTCTGGAGGCAAGCTGTTCCACTGATTAATTGTTCTCACTGTCAGGAAGTTTCTCCTTAGTTCTAGGTTGCTTCTCTCCTTGATTAGTTTCCACCCGTTGCTTCTTGTCCTGCCTTCAGGTGCTTTTGAAAATAGCTTAATTCCCTCTTCTTTATGGCAGCCCCTGAGATATTGGAATACTGCTATCATGTCCCCCCTTGTCCTTCTCTTCGTTAAACTAGACATACCCAATTCTAGCAACCGTTCCTTATATGTTTTAGCCTCCAGTCCCCTAATCATCTTTGTTGCTCTTCTCTGTACGCTTTCTAGAGTCTCAACATCTTTTTTACATCGTGGTGACCAAAATTGGATGCAGTATTCCAAGTGTGGCCTTACCAAGGCATTGAAGAGTGGTATTAATACTTCACCTGATCTTGATTCTATCTCTCTGTTAATGCAGCCTAGCACTGTGTTGGCCTTTTGGACAGCTGCAGCATACTGCTGGCTCATATTTAGGGGATTGTCTGCTAGGACTCCGACGTCCCTCTCACAGTTACTACTATTGAGCATGGTGCCACCTATGCTGTACTTGTGCATTTGGTTTTTCTTGCCTAAATGTAGAACCTTGCTTACAGTAAGTTGTATACGTAGTTATTTTAATTGCATTATTCTTCTCCTGTTGTAATGAGGTGGCTTTTTAAAAAACTAAACTGTGAATGGTTTTGTGCAAAATTTGAAAAAGATTAAAAGTTTGGAAATAAATATAAAATAGCACAAGAATTTTGACAGCAAGGCAGAATAAGTGCATTTAATGATGAAGGAATTTGACAGGACATGAAAAAGATATCTTGCTAGAACATGTTCACAATAATGAAAAACTTCTAAAGCCCCAATAAATTTGTATCAAGATTAATTATGTTCCTCTTCTTTCTACTTTTCTTTTAAACCAAAAAGTTCACAAAGGTATTTATTTTTAATATTTTGTATAGGAATTGATGACTTGAGGCATCTAAAATTAAATATAATTATACAGAATAAACTTCTCTTTCATTCATCCTCTACAGGTTTGGTAGTTGCTCAGCATTATAATCTGGGTTTATATATTGTACTAAATCATGGCTTACTTAATCATAATTTGTTGACTATGACTGGATTTGTATAGCAGAGAAAGTTAAAAACAGTGGCGGGATTCAGCCGGTTCGCACCACTTTGGCAGAACCGGTAGCTAATTTTTTGTTGCCCAGGCCCAGAACGGACTTCCAGAACCAGCATCCACATAGAGAACTGGTTGTTCACATATTTGAATCCCACCACTGGTTAAAAACCATGGTTTATAAAACACAGTGGCTAAGTTCAATCCATATCCAACTGTATTATGGTTTAACAAATGGTGTAGCACTGATGATGTTACATACTATGGTAATGAAACATCTTCAAGAAAACAACTAAGCTCAGAGAGACCCCACAACCCAATCCTGAGCTACAAATATTCTCTTCTTTCAGTTTAATAAATGTTTTGTTTTCTTTACTTCTCATGCCTTTCCAGAAACTTGTTCTTTCAGTATGAGTTTTGTTCATTAAATTGATGAGACTTTGCATAAAATAGAACTTTGGAACACCCACCAGTATGTAGTGCAATCATCCAGGCTACCAGTTTGTGAAATGTGAGATTCCTGTCCAACTGTCTTCTGACACGCACTGAGCAACACTAGATTCAGAAGAAAAAATGAAATACGACAATACAATCTGTCTCTCTTGGTTCTCTCTTCTGAGTTTGAAGTGCTATCTACCCATTCTTGGCTGCTACTGAACAATGCCTCATAATGTTTGCTGATTCCACTGCCAGTCACTATCCTGCCTCCACTGAATCTGTTTCAGGCCTGATCAAATGAGGAGGCCATGGCTGTGAAAGTGCCTTTGGTTATAAGTAACATGACTGTTTTTTTTTTCTAGCTTTAAATTATCATCATTTCCATATCTCCTTTTTATTCATCTGGGTGGACAATGGAAGTGCTAAAACAATACATGTTACAATTATGGAGTAGTTAAGGAGCAATAAATTGAAGTTCAATCTGGACAAAATGTATGTGCTGTTAGTGGATGTTTTATACATCTGGGTACCGTATATGCCGCCATATTAGGCGACCCGGCGTATAAGACGACCCCCGTCTTTATAGCCGGGCCGCATTCCTAGAACGTCGTCTTATACGCCGGAAACTACCAGTATTTCCGGCGTATAAGACGACTCGGCGTATAAGACGACCCCCGTCTTTGGCGCCGATTTCAGCGCTCGCGGAAGTCATCTTATATGCCGGCATTTACGGTATATTGTTTTCAATTCATTCTGGAAAAGTTGTATTCCCTCTGAATCCATTATTTTTATTAGGGACACAAGGGATCCTACAGCAAAAAGTGATTTCTTGCAGCTTACTCTAGTGAACCGGTGTCAAACGGGTATCACGTGATGTATTATGATGTTTTTTTGCCTTTGCGGAGCTGGGTGGGTGTGGCCTGTGTGTGACGCATCCAGCCCGTGGGCTGCCAGTTTGACACCCCTGCACTACTGTGTCAGCTATTACCTTTACTGTAGCTCTGATACAGCAGTTCATACCCTGGTAACTTCATATTTAGACATATTTACAATGTGTTTTATATGAAGCAGCCTTGAAATTCAGTAAGCACAATACTGCATCAAAAGTATTATAAAGAGTATTATAAAGATATTCTACCAATTTTATTCAATGTTCTTACTTCATTTCTAGTCATAGGTAAGATGCTAGTAATAACTGACCAGGATTTTCATCATTCGGGACCACAGTATCCAAGAATACCTTTCTTTTTTAAAAAAATAACTATCATATTTTAAGACTGAAAAGTAAAGACTAACAAGAACTAATAATAAGAAAAAGAGAAGAAAAAAAGTAAAGAAACAGAGAGAGAGAGAGATAACAGAAGTGTAACAAAATAAAAAATAATCAGAAATATAAAAAAGAGAGAATGACTTCTGATTTCTTTTACAACCGATATAAATGAAACTTACATGAATCCCAGCCAATACCATCAACTTTACTAATCATTCTTCCGTTGTAGGTATTATTGAGTCTTTCCACCACTGGGCGTATAAAAGAATCACCACCATTATTATACATAACAATAGAGTAAAACATACTCTTTTCATTTTTTTATCCATCAATCCAACAGAAATGTCTTTAGTCTTGATTGTATGTTGATCTTCATTAATCTCCTCTCCATTCTCATCCTTTTGGCAATCTAAAAAATCTGCTAAAGCCTGAACAGCCTTTCTTGTAACAATGTCCTGGAATTTCTGGAATGGCTCTAAATCTCAAATAAATTCTTTTTCTCCAAGCTCCAGCAGAGCTTAATTATCCATTCCTCTTTCAAACTCTGTATCCCTAGTTTCCTATTTATTCTCTAAGACAGGGGTCCCCAACCTGTGGGCTATGGCCCACTACCGGGCTGTGGCCTCTTGGCCACTGGGCCATGTGAATGGCTGGCCAGTGCGCACACTTTCCCCTGCTAGCATTGCCCTGAGTGTCGCACGGGCGCTAGCCCCACCCCCAGCATCATGCATACACCTGCACCGCCCCCATTTGCGTTGCATGTGTGCACGCAGCCCCATGCTTTCCCCTTCCTTTCCTTCTGGGCCACCATCCTAGAAAGGTGGGGAACCTCTGCTCTAAGATGTCCATTCTGTCATTAGTTTATTTCTCCAGAGATTTGTTTTGTAACTTCAGCATTTATTTTACAAAATTATCCATCTTATCCAGTTTTTTCAATATTTTTTTCAAAAGACTTAAATATGGCATCCAATTTGAAATTCACTGAGACAGTGTAAATCCTAATTTGTGAAAGATTAATTTAATTACATTAGAAGATTGGCATATCTTGTTTCTCTTTACCTTCCTTCTCCAATGGCTACCCCATAGAAGCTATTCTGACATTCAGTTGAGCTCTTTGTATGTTTTTGGTTTGGGATAATTTTAAATTAGGACTAGTTTGTGCTTTTTGCTTATCCCTAGTTTGCTTTTTGAGCCTCTTTGCAGCATTCCCTGACCTGGGCATTCTTCAGATATATTGACTTCAATGTCCAGAACTCACCAGACAGTGTTATCCTTCTGAGAATTTTGGAAATTGAGGTCCACACTTCTATAGATGCCCAGTTTGGAGAATATTGCTTTTCCCTTGCAATCAATGAGATATGAGGAAATAATACTTTTAAAAGTTGGAAAAACAAATCAGAAATAGCTTTTTAAGTCTGATCATATTGCTTGTATTTAAGACTGGAAGTAGTCATGAATTGTTCAGAAAATCATGATTAAAAGAAACCATAGCTTAGTACGCATGAATAAACCCATTTATGATTTAGCTTTATATCTAAACCGGTCACAATAGTTGATTTACCACATTGATTAAGAAAACCCTGGTTTAATATGTTGTCTGACCCTGATCAGTAACTGGGTCCTTTTCAGTCAATGACTCTGCTCTGAATAGCCTCATGTTTTAACTGTGCAAAGAAGTCAGAACATCATCTTCAGAGAAACTTCATTCACTATCACAATATTTGCAGGTAATCTACAAAATTAAAAGAATAGAAGACAACCCTCGTTTGCTTAGGATGAATATTTTTTTCATTAATCATAGCAAATACTTACTGCGCTTGAGCCTCTGAGAAAGGAAAGCAGATTTCTACAGACAGGAAGCAGAATTAATAGGCAGTTGAAATTCAGACATGCTGCAGGTGCCCGGGCCAATGCCAAATAAGGCTAAACATCAGACAATGGGATCATAATTATTCAAGCAATATCATTTAGGGATACATTGAAACAGAACTAAAAGCCCTAATGGACTGCACAAAAGGGAGAATGAACATTACAATTGTATAGGGACTGTGGGTGTTATTGAGCTATTCTCAGCACATCTGGCCAATACAATTAATAGAAAGGGACGCTGGGAATTGTACTTTAGCAACATCTGAAAAGTCATGGGCTTCTGGGGTGCCACTTACAAAAAACTATTGCAATATATATGAATGTGAGGAAAAATAGGATTACGTCTGAATCAAACACCAATTGCAAATTAATGTACACCAAGAAACCTTGTATTGTTGGCATAACATAAACTAACTGATACTAACTGAAGGTCACAGTATGATTCTAAGAGACAGAGTGACATTTCAATTCAAAGCTTCTATGGAGGCAAGAGCTTGTTTTGTGATCCTATGGATGACCATCTCACCAGATGAAAGGTTATCAGAAGATGGAGCAAAGGGGAAAAGATCACCGTAACATTGCTTAAGCACAATTAAAGTATTGATTAAATACTTAAAGTATTTTAAGAGGAACATGGGGAGTTTCTCCTGAGACTCTAACTACTACTGCATACTGCCCCTATGACTGTTCATTGGTTTTGTTGTTTTCTGTGGCACTCTCTTGACAGTTACATCTGATTTGTGGCTTCCACCCTTCTTATCCAGTAACTTTCTCTTTCCTCCCTCTTAAAAATATTTCTAGTCAATTCAAAAATTATTGATTTGTGGTAATTTTTGGAATTAGTTTCCCTTCAGAACTTTGAGATTCTTTCATTTGCTGTTAGACTGAAAAAAGGGAGAAATAACTAAATGTTTTTTCTGCAGCAGGGACGTCCAACCTGGCTAGGGAATTCTGGGAGTTGAAGTCTACAAGTCTTAAAGTTGCCAAAGTTGGATACCTGGCTATACAGCCTGCATTGCTCTATATCTACAGAGGCGGACAATACTAAACCAGAGGAATTTGTAATGTACTGTTGTTACTATTTCCCTTTGTGTCTTGCTCAAACTCTGCTTCCTATTCCTGCATAAAGCAAGAAGTATCAGGTTCTTGATGGGGCAATACTGTTAAGCAACAGTTCCTGGAAGACCACCCTCCCCTTGTGGTAGTGGCCGGTGCCAGGTTCATCTCACCAGAGCTGGGGGGGGGGAGGTGGAGGAAGGAAGGAGAAACATATGAGTCCTTATGCACCATGCATTGTTTCTTCTGCTTTGTAATAGATGTAAGAGAGAATAATGAAGCAGAACTTCCAGTAACTCCATTCTGGGGTGGTGGTGGTGGTGGTGGTTTAGGATTATTATCCTACAATGATTATTTTTAAACAAGAAGGAGTGCTATATTTGGTTAGCTTGACAATTGATTCAGATATGAAGTGGAAGGACAAAAAAAGGGGAAATGGGTTAAACAGAGACTTCTAAGATTGCTTAACAGACAACTACATTTTATAACAGTCAAGCTGAAACAAAGTTGCAACATTTCAGAGAAAAAGAGATTGCCTTTTTATTACAGAGAAAGATGGCTGGGAGATAATACTCTATATATTGTATCTAGATTTTCTCTCTCAGCATAATATCATATTGTATTATTTCTTCCTGATGTATTTTCAGCAAAAAACCCTCAGATATTGGTCTATTAAAATTAACAGTAGAGGAAGCGATAATCAGAATCTCTGGGAAAAAGTTAAATCTAACTTTCAGTGCTTCTGATCAGGATCATTGGGTGGGGCTGGGTTTAACTTTGCTCTCTCCAGTAGTTTGTTTCCTGCTAAAAGAAGCAATGAAAAGGTATTTTGTCTATGCCAGCATTAATGGGAAGGGAGTTTTAGCCTCAAGTCTTTTCCCAAAGCAAAGAGAAACATTGAGGGTTTAATTGCACAGAAAATGGGTTTGCAAGCTGCACAGAAAATGGCTGCAATCACAGGTAGGTTCTCAATCAATCCAATTGTCATATGGACAACAGAAAGAAAGGAGACTTACTGTCAAATTTGGGGGGGAAAATGAGACATTGCTGGTAACCTACAAATTATGAGAGAGTAGACCAGTGTTTCTCAACCTTAGTAACTTTAAGATATGTGAATTTGAAGTCCCAGAATTCCCCAGCCTTTTAGCAACTAAGATTTGTGCTTGAAGCTGCCTGAAAAAGTCTGGGATTTCCAGGTGACACATCTTGAAGTTGGTAACCACTGAAGTTGATTGACTATGAACAGAGAGCAGACGTTGTTAGGAATGAATACAGCCAAAGGCACTTAGATCTCATCAATACAGAATAAACTGAGATAACCATTTATCACAGAGGAGAGAACCAGAAGACTAAGCCTGAAGCACTATTACATATAGATTCAGGGAGAACTCAGATAAACTTCCTGGAGCTATCTTTATCTGCATCTTAAAATTAATAGATTCAATTGGGAACCTATAGACTTTAGTGGAAATAATGCATGGCTATTTTGCTTAACTATCTGGGAGTTCCCTGAGAAGCTGCTGGCATTGATGACCTAGTGCCATACAGACTTTAGACATAACACCACTAAAGAAAAGCTGAAGAGGGAGACTTGCATTCAACATGGTCATTTGCCTGCCTTCTCTTGTGGATTTGCAGAAGCTATCACTACTGTTTTTCAGAGCTGATCACCTTGAAAAATTAGAACTGGCCATATAAGTCAGAGATGCACATTTTGAGCTGCAATTAGCAGTAATATCCAATAAACATTAGAACAGTGATGAAGTTCACTGAAACATGGGAAAAACAGCATGTGGCATAGGACTTACCCCAAGAAGTTCTCTTGTATAGTAGAAAGTCGGCCCTTGAGCATATACTAAGTAGTACCACCAAAAGAGGAAAACATTTAAACCCAGCCATACTAGCTGAAAGAAGAAAAACATGGCCTAAAATTATTTTCAGAACTTCTATTATAATTGGAAGACCTAGTGATCAGAATAGGTTCTGGAAACTCTAGTCCAGATTTTGGTAAAAGCAGCAAAGCCAAACGATTATGCACCCCAATTTGAACTAATTCTACTTTTAACAGTTCCATTTAACAGTGAGTCCAAATAGGCTCAGACAATTATATTGCATTATATTCCATGCAGGCTGGGCTTCTTTCCCCAAGTGCAAAGTGTGTACTTTTCAATAGTATCTTAATATTATGATGGTCTTTAGGTAAATGATGACATTTAGAACTGCATTGCTATTTTTAAATTTCAAATCACATCCTCAACCTAACTGAGAGCAATAAAAGAGCACTGACTACCGTTAGTACCGTAGTGCTACTGCTGCTGCTTAACATTCTGGCCCTTTTTCCATGTCACTAGCAGAGGCAAGATGATGACTATTCCCTGATTTTCCCAAAGACTGATCCCAGCAATGTTAAATGCGGATGAGGTTTCTCAAAATTAAGTGGAACATCTTAAAATCTTATCCTTAGTGGTGGAGGATTGTTTTTTTAACAATGATTGTCAGTGTCATTAACTCTGTTTGCTTGCTGATCAAGCACTTTAATTATATTTTAGTATGCTTCAAAAGTTGCACAGAAAGCTAGTCCACATTTTGGAATCTACCTGGAAATCTGAGCTTCTTTTGTTATATATATGACTACTTTAGTAACATAAGTAATTACTTAGTTCTAAAGGAAATATCTACAATAATACATAATTAGAAATTCTAGGAATTGGGTAAAAATTTAGTAAGCCATGTTCTTATGGTCCAGCCTAGTTTTACACTAATCCTAAAGAACTTTGGTCATAAAATACTGGTATCCAAAAAAAGCATTGAAAGCTAGCTAGTGGAGGAAAAAAAGACACAATTAAAGACATATATAAAATGATATAAAACAAAAAAATTAAAGCAATAAGAAATATTATAATCCAAGAAATATATATTTTAAATGGACAGACCATCTACTCAGATAACAATTTATAATAATTTATAAAAAGACCTGAAATTGCTACCACCCTTTAACTAAACTTGTGTTTTTAAAAAATCATATTTTGCTTCCTATTTTTTTTCGGCAGGACAGTTCATATTTCATTAAGAGTTCTCTATAATTAATTGTTTTTAAAGCTATAACACACTTCTTGCTTAAAATACTGCCTATAACAATGCATTCAAAACAGGAAGACATTTTTGTTTAGATTTTCGCACCTCTTGAACTGAAGATGCTTTTATGAAATTAAATGGGTTTTAGCTCTGAGAAAACTAGTCTTAAAATGCACAATGAATGTACTTACAATGACAAATATGGAGAGTCCCTCATTCTCTACCCAGTTGCCCATGATGATGATGAGAACGGTTGTGAGTCTGAGCTGCGTCTGATTATCATATAGTATGTGCTTTTTTCCCCTTCAGAAAAGGAAGTGCAGACTAAGGCTTGCAACAATCTGTTTCCTTATTTCATCCTGCATGCATTAGATAAACGTCCATGTGTTCAGAATAATGTCCACCTTTTTCTCCTTAAAAATTCATACTTAAAATTCAAATCTCATAGAGAATGCAATTATTGCAGATGCTGTCTTCTACATCTCTTTTAGAGCAAAGCATACTTGTTCTAGCAATGTTGTAACACCCATGGCAGGGTTGTGATATCAGACTATCTATAAGATTGTTTTCATTTATATGTAGTTGTTCAAAACAATGTATTGTTCTTTCTGGCATTAGAAAATATTTTATTCACCTAGGTTTTTGAAGAATGCACTCCTATTGGTGATCTGGCATTCTTGTTTGAAATCTGAGTGTTATGTTAGTTCTTTTCAATCAGTTTTGGTCACTTTATTTTGTCCTTTGATTGAATGGGTGTTCGCATGATTATGATCAGGAAACAGATCTCAGCAGTGTGTTAGATAACAGTGTCAATACAGTGAGTGGTTGCTGTAAAGAGAAGGCAAGTTCCATCTAACAAATCATTGAAAAGGGAACTGAAAATTAAAATGTGGATACATTAATCCCCTTTTATAAACCTCTGGAATTACTAGATTTGAGTGCTGTCTACAGCTCTGGTTACTGTACATCAAAATAAAATAAAAAATATTATAGAATTGGGAGGGGGAAGTATAAAAAGTATCAGTCAGAATAAGATTTTAGTTTAGAACAATGTTTTTCAATCTTAGCTACTTACAGATGGGTGGTCTTCAACTCCCAGAATTCACCATGCTAAAGTTAAAGTTGCTAAGGTTGAGAAACTTTGGTTTAGAGGAAAGTAAGATGAGATATGAGAGATGAAATCATACATGGAGTAAAAATGTAAACAGAGAGTTCTATTCATTAGATATCTATTAACTAAATATAATCTTTACATAGATTTTTTGCCCCCTCTGTTCAGTCATGTCCGATTCTTGGAGACTGCCTGTATAAGTTTCTGCAGTTTTCTTGGCAGTGTTTTGCAGCAGTGGTTCACTATTACTCCTTCCTAGGAGTGGGAGAAAGTAATTAGCGCAAAGTCACCCAGTTGACTTTGTGCCTAAAGCAGGACTAGAACTCACAGTCTCCCATTTTCCAGCCTGATGCTTTAACTCATGGATGTCAAACTCGCCACATCACGTGATGTGTCACAATGTATCGTGACTCTTTTTTATTGCTGGCAATGGGGTGGGTGCAGCTTCGGTATGATGAAACCGGCCCATGGACCAGCAGTTTGACACCCCTGGTTTAACTACTACACCTAGTTGGCTCTCTGCATAGGGATATTAGTATTTATTAAATCTCATTCAGTCTATTTTGTCTTCTCTTGGTTGGTGCAGGTAGCTGGAATCAGTGTGAGTTTTGAGGTATGTTCTGCAAAAAGAAAGATTTCACAGAAATAGAAACAAGTGTTTTACCTTACTTCAACTGTCTCAACATGTCAGGTTGAACAGTGTGCAGTTGAAACCCCCTATTGTTCTCAAGTTGACTTTCATATCCCCAAGGGGAACAGATGCAGACATTAGAGAATTTGGAAATGAAACCCAAGCAGCAAAAAATAAATGGCTTTCTAAACATACATGTTAAACTAATCAGATCCCATATACTACCATATTGATTATAATTATTACTTGTTTTTATTAAACTATCAATCTTTGGTAGACCAAAATAGAAGCACCATATGCCCTGCCAAAATCAGTATTAGGTACTTCTATTGTTTCCAATTGTTGTTAAACTAAAGAGCTGTCACAAATGTTATCAATATGGAAATCTGCTAATTTACATTGGAAAAGTGGTACCAAAAAGATCTCTACTTAAAGACTTGTGTGCTAAAACTCCAAGTTTCATTCCAATTAAAACAAGATTTTGATTTCAAGAACTGTGCTCAAGCCAACATGCAAATCTCAGGTTATCTCCCCCCAAAAGAACAATTTTCTTGTTTTACGTCCACTTCACTTGGCCTGGCGCCTGGTATACTCCAGCACCACCACAGCATGTCTGATCATCATATTCTATGCCCTCATGATCAATTTCATTTTCTCCATCTAATTAGACAAATTTATTGCAATCTGCTTTTCAGGTTTTATTTTGAATGTCATTATGTTAAAAAGTGTTGTACAGTTAAGGAAAAAGGTACAGATAATCCTCAACTTACGACCACAATTGAGCCCAACATTTCTGTTGCTAAGTGAGACAGTTGTTAAATGAGTTTTGCCAGAGTTAAGTGAATCACTGCAATTGTTAATAACATGCTTGTTAAGTGAACCCGGCTTCCCCATTGACTTTGCTCATCAGAAGGTCATAAAAGGGGATCACATGACCCTGGGACACTGCAAATGTCATAAATATGAGTCAGTTGCCAGGCGTCCGAACTTGACTATGGGGATGCTGTAATGGTCGTAAGTATGAAAAATGGCCATAAGTCACTTTTTCCAGTGCTGTGGTAATTTTGAATGATCACTAAATGAACTGTTGTAAGTTGAGGACTATCTGTATTTACTTTTTAAAATTTAATTTAATTTAATTCTGTTATTTGCCACCCATCTCATAATGAAAACAATTCTCGGCTGCTTTCATTCAGAAATTTTACTTTTATTAAAATTCTGGACATAATTAATGCTTTCAATGAAATCAAAAGCTTATTCAGAAATTTTCTCAGTGCTTGATTCAAAGTTTAGAATATTTCTGAACAAATTATTCACATGACCTCAAAGCAGTATGAAACTTGTATAGAGAAATAGCTATCTCAGGTACTTTTGAAAAGTTGATGAAATGTTGTTTTTATAGGTGGAATTTTCAGCTTGACTCAGCCTGTTGTGGAGGAGAATCTAGGACAGGGGTCTTCAAATGCTGGCTGAGGAATTCTGGGAGTTGAAGTCCACAGGTCATAAAAGAGCCAAGTTTGAAGACCCCTGATCTACGAGGTATGATTGTTAGTTCTGTTTAAGCATAGCTTTAAGCATACTTGATTGTTCATTTCTTACATTCATGTCCCTTTTATTGAAAGCACCAAGATTGCCTGCTTCTTAGTTATAACAAACATTCCAATTTATATCATTAAAGTGTATTGGTATCAACTCTCCATGAAAATCTCATATTCCCAAATATGTCTTAGACCAGGCATGTCAAACTGCCGACCCGCGGGCTGGATGCATCATACTGCAACTGTGTCCACCCCATTGCCGGCAATGGGGAAAAAGTTGCAATACATCACGCGACGTCATGTGACGTTGCAAGTTTGACATGCCTGTCTTAGAGGAATCCACCCATCTCCTGAAAATCCTTCATCTCTGCAGTAAATATAAATATAATATACTCAGCTGCAGTTTGCACATCCTGGAAAACATTCTTCCTGATTTTCTGCAAGATACCTGATAGATAGGAGGCTGGAGTCCTAATGACTCCATTAGAAAACTGACAAAAGGATGTTTTTTCTTTCATCTCTTCTTCCTCACGCAGCTGCTATTGCTATGTGAAATCTTAGGATTTTTTTTTTTTCTCCTCCAGTATCTTGCAATGTTTTTCTCTAATTTTCTTTAGCAAGGTGTTGGGAGATGCCTTATGATTCACTGTTTATTAATTACCACAAAGTAGCAAACATATTTCATAAAACTGCTCTCTGGAGGTAATAATACATTTTCCATTAGTTTGAAATACATGTGGGCTGCAACACTTCAGATGACTACTAAACGACAGCAAAGAATTAGAACAGTGTTTCTCAAACTTGGCAACTTTAAACTTTGTGAGCTTCAAGTCCCAGAATTCCCCAGCTGCCCACTCCTCTTAAACCTACCAAGTTTGTGAAATATTCAGACTCTTTGCTTCCCACTTGTCAGAAAGTCAGTTATTTTGCAACCTTCTGATCACAAGAAAAAGATGGAAATAGATATTTCCAAGTTCTTGTTTGTTCAAAATTCTCCTTCCTTTTTTCGGTACTTTCTGTACCAGACCTTTCCTACACTGGAGCTGGAGGTTTCAGATTTAATTCTTTTACTCCCTCTTATATGCATATTTAGTTACTACGAGCACCCTAGATTGACTTAGGAAAAGGTGTATTTCAAAAGTGAAATGAGTGTTAAAGGTTTGCTGTTGCTTTAAAAAAAGAAACCCTGGAAAGACCCTGGACAATCCAATCAAATTACAAGATGGGGAGAATATGTGAAAACAATAAAACCGATTAAATGCATTATCAGAAAGAGAAATACATTTAATATCCAAGGTAGTTTTGCCAAAAAGGTTTTAAATTTGATTTTCTGAATTGAACCTTACCAGATGGCCTTAAGGAAGTCCAGCACTACTTACATTCTTTCAGCTGTGAAAGTGAGTAACAACAGATTACACGCTGTGTATATTTTGTTGTTAATATAAGATATTTAAAGGTATATTCATAACAAGTTATGGTAAAATCACAAATATCAGAAGCATATAATTTGATGCCTTATTCCTATCATTTAAGCCTATCACCCATTCATTGTATTATTCATTCTCTTTCCGTTTACTTTTAAAACATCCAGTATATCCTGCCAGCTTGGCACTCAAATCCCAGATGGAATCTCAGTTCTACTAGTCATGATTTGCACCTGCCTAGTGTTGAATGGAAAAGTCTTCATCATGATTCATCCAAGCTGGGAATAAACAACATGGTGACTGCTTTAGGAAGAAGGTTGCAGTTTATTGAAGAGGAGAGCCAAACAAGAAGGCGGCTCTGGAAAAAGAGAGTGAGCACATGTAGGGAGTGGATTTTTATACCCTCTGGAGCCTTTTGTTTGGAGTTGTTTCCGGTTTGAAGCTTTGTATTTCCTGTGTCACGTATTCTGACCTGAGTCTGGGTGTGCCTTTCTGGTAGTCTGATGGTGGTGGGTTAATCCTATTATGTCCCAAGGGTCATATCCTGCTTCCCTGAGGCTGTGGCTTATGACTCTTAGATATTTGGTGTTGACTCTAGAGATCTTTCTTCCTAATCCCACCTTCCTGACTCCAGTCTTTCTGACAAGATTATCTGCATCTCTGCAGACTTGGTTTCTGCTTGGGACAGGGAGACTTGGGGGCAGGGTTGGTTTCTGCTTTTAAAATCCTTTAGGGAAATATACTCTGCCCGTTTAATGTTTTCTTCTCGGAGGGGGGGCTGACTTCCCACACTAGGAAGAAAAAGAAGTTGATAAACAGTAAACAAACTAGAGAAAAAAGAAACAGCACCATTAACTTTTAACATGCTTTAGTTCAACCTTATGTTTGAAAGAAGAATGCCCCCTTGTGGACATTCCTATTATTATTAAAGACACCAAAATAAGGTAGGAGAAGGAAGCTTTCAAATGCATCAAAATTTGGTAAAGAAGCTTAGCAATCAGCCTTTATAGATTTTACACATCACATTGTTATTCAGATCATTATTTTTGAATCTTTGGATATATGGAGACAATCGTATCTGTCATCATAAAATATCCTAAAAAGGAAAGATAAGAGCAGAAGCATGCTTACGAGAACAAGTTTGAAAGAAAACAAAACTGAACTGAAAAGGATAATCTAGATTCTAGAGAGATGTCTTGATAGTAGCTGCCTGATTATTGAGGGTATAACGTGTGGGCAAAAGTCCTTGGTAGGCTGATTAAATACATTGAAGAAACACAGTGTACCTTTTTTTTGAAAATATGCTCCTTAATCTACAACTGTTTTGGGCTACCAACCACTCGTAATAGGGAAATCTAATCTGCTAAATTTAATTTAATTTTGTTTAGCATATTGTTTATCCCACTAAAGATCACATAAAATGATGATGTTATTTAGAAACATTATTTTACCTGCTCAATAAAAATATGTTAACTATAAAGAACTATTTTTTCTTACATTGTACAATGTCTATATTTGAATTTCTGTAAAATTATTTTTCTTCAAATTAGTTAAACCTGCATTGTTATTCACCAAGCTTTTGAAACAAAATTCTCAAGTGTTTTAAGTAGGCAGCTATTTAATTCAGAAGATGTGAGGTTGGGAATGGCTGACAGAACAGAATGAAGTTTTTTTAATCAGGTTTATTGTGCAGTCATCAAGAATGCAAATATAAATAACTGTTCTAAAGCACCTAGTTGTTTTAAGAAGAGAAAAACAGAGTATTTTTGTTTAAAGGAAAAAGCAGCCACAGTAATTTAAATAATGCCCATCAGTAGCAATAAAAAGGCAAAAACATAATGGTATACTAAAGCTAAAATCAACCCAAACTGGAAGTAGGCAAAGAAACAGTCCTGAAAAAAATAAAGAAACAAAATTATTAAGTGCATCATCATTTCCTGAATCTATATAATAAATATTAGAGTCTCTACATGAATTATCATAACCTGTAGATATTTATTTTTGCAAGGGTAACTTCTACAAAAGTCCACACAGAGAACCATAATTATTTCTAATCTCTCTTGCATTCACTCCAGTTCTAGACAAACACATTACACACAGTAATTTCTTTCCATAGTGATTTTTATTCTCGGAGCAAAACAGTCTATCAGATACAAAACTATGACGTCCTTCATCACATGTGCACAGAAGTACATTTGATATATAAAAGATAGAATGGAAAATCTGTTAATAGTTCTATGGTGTATTGGCCTTAAATACTGCAAAGCTGCCTGGGTCCAGCCCCAAATTAGCTGCTGAGAAAACTGTCAATGAGAAGTGGAATGAAACCCTGAAAGGCTGAGATTTGAGTTGCCCTATAGTAGGACAACTGTCAGACTGTGGCCAAGGAAGCAGGCTCTATTACTTTTAAAAACTCTCATACATGAGATAAGTAGCTGTAGAAAGGCTGTCAGTTGAATGCAGTTCCCTGGCTGGCCCTTCAACATGCCGGGTAGCTTTGGATCAGGTTCTTTGATCTGTTGTCTGGCTGTAGTAGAATGCACATTTTCTTGAATTGAGCTTGATATCTTTCTGAGTAAATAGGCTTGCGTGATAAATACCTCTAACAGTGAGGAATAAGGATGACATTAACAACCAAAGATCATGATTTGGACTTGTTTCTTTCAACAGCTTTGAAAGAAAATTTAACAGGGCATTACCAAATTCATGAATTTAGTAGATCAGCAATTCTTCCATGTTTAATTCTGGATTCAGGGGGAAAAAAACTGTTCCAGTTTTGAGAGTCAGATGAAATGATACCATTTGCTACATAGATAAACTTGATAGCTGGTGAAAAACAGAATAACAGAACAACAGAGATGGAAGGGAACTTGTAGGTCTTCTAGTCCAACCCCCTGTTCAAACCGGGGACCCTATACCATTTCAGACAAATGGTTGTCCCATCTCTTCTTAAAAACCTCCAGTAATGGCACATCCACAATTTCTGGAGGCAAGACTGCTTACTGGTTAATTTTTCTCATAGACAGGAAATTTCTCCTTAGTTCTTGGTTGGTTTTCTCCTTGATTTGTTTTCATTCATTGCTTCTTGTCTTACCTTTAGGTGCTTTGGAGAACAGATTGAATCCCCTCTTCTTTGTAACAATTCCTCAAATATTGGAACACCATCATATTATACCTAGTTCTTCTTTTCACAAGACTAGATTTACCCAATTCCTGCAACTGTTCTTCATATGTTTTAGCTTTGAAACCCCAGTCATCTTTGTCGTTTTTCTCTGTATTTTTTCTAGAGTCTGAACATTTCTTATATTGTGACCAAAACTGGATGCAGTATTCCAAGTGTGGTCTTATCAAGATATTATAAAGCAGTACTAACACTTCATGTGATCTTAATTTTACCCCTGTTAATGCAGCCTGGGATTGCATTGGCTTTTTTGGCAGCTGCAGCACACTGCTGGCTCATAGTTAAGTGGTTGTCCATTGGGACTCCTAGATCCTTCTCACAGTTCTATTGAGCCAGGTTCCATTTATATATTATACCTGTGCATTTGGTTTTTCTTGTCTAAGTGTAAAACTTCACTTTTCTCACTACTGAATTTCATTTTGTTAGACAGGGCCCAGTGTTCAAGTCTATCGAGATCCTTCTGGATCTTGAGCCTATCTTCTGGGTTGTTGGCTACTCCTGCCAGTTTGGCAAATTTTATCAGTTCCCCTTCTATTCCCTCATCTAAATCATTTATAAAAATGATGAAGATTACTGGTCCTAAGACAGAACCTTGTGTCACCACCCTGCATATTTCCCTCCATATAGATATACTTCCATTATGGACTGCACATTGAGAGAGATTTGTCAGCCAGTTATAAATCCATCTGCCAGTGATGCTGTCTATCCACATTTTTTTAACCGACCAAAACTAGATTGTATTCTACTTTACCAAATGTCTTATTGAAATCCAAATCTATTATGTCCACAGCATTTCCCTGGTCCACTAATTTAGTCACTTTGTCAAAGAATCAAATAAGATTTGTTTGGAATGTCCCTGATACAACAAATAGGTCCATGATGTTCTGTTCCTTTCTTTTCTATTACACTTTTTAATCCTGGAATATTTCTTGAGTAAATTACTTGGTCAATGCATTGTCATATTATATGAGCTAGGAGAAGCTCACTGGGGCAAAGTGTTTGATCTGTCAGCATCTGGACATGGCTCCATGAACTACATAATCCCAATAATCACAATCTGTAGCTAAGCATGGTTGGCATTTCATTACCTACACACTTTCTGCACAATCAAACCAAAGCTGCAACAACTTGCTAGGAAAACATGCTTTCTATCATAATAAGCACAAGACCTTGGAAAGGAGAAACCTTTGTACAAACTCATTGCATACGATAAACCTACAAACATTGGCTAAGATATAATGTTGACACATCCCATTTATTATACCTGTTTTATGAGCAAAAGAAGGTCTGAAGTGCTATTCTTTGCAGGGTCTTGTGAGACTCAGATACCCTCTCTATGCATTAGAAGATACACTCTGCTGAGTGCTTCCATTTTGGGATTCATTTGCCTTGTAACTAGCCTGGGCACCATTTTCAGTATTCTCTGGGGATTTCAAGTTCTCCTTTTCTACAGAGTTGCTAGATGTCAGAGGTTTGCAGACGTGACAAAAAAACTTGAAGCATATGACCAATCCTTCACAAATATTGGAGGAAAAAAGCTTCTTGCATGGATGGCAGAACTGGTAGAACACAAGCATAAAAAGGACAGCTATGCAGTAGCCAATCAGCAGTTGCAAGAACAGCATTGGAGCACATACGTATGTGTAGACATCTGTCTTGTATTTGTACCACATTAGTAAGAGAAAAGCATTCTCAAAGAACCTCAGCAAATAGTACAAAGCCAGCCTACTCCAGTTTGGGGATTTGTCAATTAAATCAGAATCATTAAGCTTCAGCTGCACCGCTGACCAGCAAAACATATTGATGCCGGCATACAGGAAAGTGAGGAGACATAAGACAATGGTGGTGCCTACTTTGCTCAAGGCCTTCTCTATGTTTTCTGGCAGAGTACACTTGCTTTGCCAGAACTGAATCCAAGGATGAAAGAAAAAAGCAAAAAAATTCACCAGCACCACAGGCAGGATCCAGATCTGAAGAACTGAACTGAAGAGGACGAGGACTATCACCCTTGTTGCAATCTCAAAACTCCTCCAGAGGAAAATGCAAAGGTAGGCAGCAGGTTTCACACTGATGTCATAATCGTCATACTTGATCTTAATGGCCAGAATATTGCATCGCAATGCTCCATACACAATTGACAGGAGGGAAAGAACCATGAAGATACCTTGGAAAAATAAATATGACAAACAATAGGTTTAAAAAAAACCAGCACTGTCCAAACTGCAGAAATGGGACTATATTGGAAATTAAAAACCATACAGAGCACCAAAATATTATATTTCTTAAATAAAGCAGTTTCCCAGGCCTCTTTTACTTATTTCTAGTGCTGGAAAAATATTTTTTCCAGAAAAGCTATAAAAATAAGCACAAAAACCTATCTGAAATAATACTAGAAACCCTACTCTATTTTTCTGAATAACTGGCTAATGCATTACACAAAACCACAACTTTCTTAATTATCAACTTATATTTATTAACCTCCCAGAAAGGATATAGACTATTGCTTATAAGCCACAAAGATCGGCTGTACAGTGTTCATCAAATTACAACAGTGGTGAAAAAAGGAACTTTATGACCAATCCTCACTGTTACAATTCACAGGTCTTTAAAATAAAGAAAAGCTGGGTAAGATCATAAGGACAGTTGCAGTTCCATTTAACAACTACTTTGTTTAACAACTGAGTTGCTGGTCCTAACTGTGGTTGTTAAGTAAGAACAACCTGTACTATTGTGCTGAGCCAAAACAAAACACACTGCTTTATGGCATACCATATTATGTAAAGCCATTATGTACACAATGGGAGGTTGACAAGATCAGTCAAACACTTCATATTTTAGCTCTTGAGGTCTTGAGAGAAACATCATACTCACACCTCAGCAACCCTCCAAACCTCTTTACAAAAGTCCGCCCAAGGATTTGAGCTTCAGATTTCAAAGTGTGCAAAGCTGTTGTATCACTTAATTGTGAAATCTATCCCCTACCAGTCAGCTGTTATTCGGGCTCCTCTTCTTAATAGAAGCATGTGTAACACCTACCACCTACTAGGATTGAACATGGTAAAGTGGCTGCCTATTCCCACTGCCCATCAACTGTTATTTAGGCTCTTTTTGAGGATGGATTTAGTACGCCTTTCCAAGAGCATTGTATCCTGTTTGAAAATAACCATATAACAGCTGGCTGGTAGGAGGATTATTCAAGGGTCCTTTATGCAAAGCTTTTTTTGGAGCCATTAATAGAACAGAACATAGAATAACAAAGTTGGCAGGGACCTTGGAGGTCTTCTAGTCCAACCTCCTGCTCGAGCAGGAGACACATTTTACTATACAATTTTAGACAAATGGCTGTCCACTCTCTTCTAGATAGTCTGTTATATTTATATAGATGTCATTCAGATATATTACAAGAGCACCCGTCTTACCACAAGGTAACTTTAAATAATGTGGTTTACTTGGCTTCAGTTTAGTGAGTTCTGTGAATATAGACATTATGATGATAAAGTCTGGTTTATTGCTTATTGTGTGAAATAAATCTAACCAAATGTTTTTTGTCAGTAAGCCATGTTTAAGCAAATGGTGACTTGATGCAAATATAGGCAATTTAGCCCCTATCAATCATTCTGCTTGAAAAACTCTCTGTTGGAGGTACCTTTGAGTGGTATAATGCTCTCAGTTGGTAGTCTCAGGTGAAATAAATTACTTTGAAAAGAATTTAAAATTCTACCCTAATCTAATATCTGAGATTGCAGTCATTTTTATTTTATTTTAGTATATAATATTTGTTTTAAAAGCATTGGCACCTACAACATTGGTAAATATTATGATGGTACCAACTGCCTGAAAATGTTGCTGACAACATATGTCAAGTTAGTCATACCACAATAACTTTTTTTAACCATTTTTCTGAACCTTTCTAAAAAGAGAGAAAGAGAAGGTTTAGACATTACTTACCTATAATTCCCTTCTCAAAGCATTTATTGAAACATAAATAGAGAAAAAAAACAGTTGTACGTACTTCTAGCTGCTGTGATCTCTTGTTGCAGGACACAGATGTAAAGCTGAAGTGTTAGCTGAGGTGCAGATCCTAGGAAAGCTTGAATCACTGATGCTCGACTAAATGCAGATCTATGTGTAAACAGCTTCCCTTCTGCCTGGCCTACTTCCTTCTCAACCTCTTCTGAATGTCCATCTTTTGGCATCTGTCTTTTCTTAGTGATACTGACATAAGGCTCTTCCACTCTACCTGCATGAAAGTAAATATAAAAAACTTCCACACACCTGGAAGGAACAAACAAGAGAAACTATCACATTTCTATTACATATTTCAAAAATGTAATGGATCGCATGTGCATTTATCTCCCCACTGTCACTCCCTAAGACAATCTGTATAGACACCAATCAGCTAACTCATACTTAAGATTATTAAAATTACAGATCATGCAATCGAGCAAAGTAATGGCACTAAGTATCTTATATGAATATCCAGCATATTCTAAACAAATAGATTGTTTAGAGAAAAGCTTCCTTCTCTTAATATGTTACTATTTGGTTACATACTAATATGATCCACATTCAGCATTATTGAATTTACATAGCCCAACACATATCTTGAGAAGCACTTTGGCGTAACGGTTAAGGCACCAGGCTAGAAACCAAGTAGACTGTAAGTTCTAGTCCTGCCTTTGTCACAAAGCCAGCTGGATGACCTTTGGTCAATCACTCTCCCAAGGTCCTAGGAAGGAGACAATAGGAAACACCTTCTGAAAAATGTTATCAAGAAACCTGTAGGGACTGGTTGAGACACTCACCAAGAGTCAAAAAAGAGAGCAAAAAACCTTAAACCTATGCCACACGTATCTCACAGTACTCTGTATGATTTATTTATTAAATAATTTTATATTGCCATCCAACTCTCTGACGGTGATGCTAGGCGGGTTAACGGAATAAACCCCCCAAGCAAAACCCAATACGCCCCCTCGTCTCTGGTGCCAACATTCAAACAGCCCACCACCTGATGGGCTCCATATTAGCCTGGATCACGAGGCCCACTGGGAAAACTATGTTTTCAAGACCCTTCAGAAGAATATGAAGATGGGTGCGAGTGTTATTACCGTATGAATGATGTTTCAAAGATAGGGAGCCACCATAGAAAAGACTTATAGTTGGTCCCACAAGGTGGACCGTCTTGATTTAAGGGACCCATATCGTACCCTGCCTCCCTGATTTGGTGGGCTGGATAGATATAATTGGGAAATATGGCCCTAAGGTATGTAGGACTTTAAACGTGATAACCAGCACCTTGAATTGGACCCAGAAGCAAATCAACAATCAGTGCAATTTCCACAAGACAGGTGATGTGTGCTAATCTAGACTTGCACAGAACCATGCAACTGCTACATTTTGAACCAACTTTTCAAGGGCGTTCCATGTAGAGTGTATTATATTTATATTTTATATATACAAACTATATTTATATACTACAGACCATATTGGTGCCAGAGAGGCTTAAAATTCTTGATTCTTTTAAAAATCCTCATATCCTGATACTCAAATGATAATTTTGAATTTTAATATTTTACATTGTGAGTTAAAGGCCCAGAGTTCCCTAAGCAATCGTGCCATCCCATGAAGTATGTGACAGCTTGTTATCATGGGCTGGTGCCATTCAGGACCAAGCATTTATTGCATACAAGAAACAATGATTAGCTAAAAGTTAAATCACTATTTCTCTTTATGCATCCCATTTCCAGAGAAACTTGAAGTTGCCAACATTGAGAAACATTAATATTGACTTTAGTTCATTCAAGGGAAGGATTTATTAACACACCATATCAAGCTGGTTTTTTAATGTGTTTTTTTTTAAGATTCTCAGACAGCTAAAAGGAGAACAGGCTTTACCGGTGTATCAAAGAGCAAGCTCTTTATTTGCTGTAGGTGTCCGACCACCTACTTCCCTATAGCAATGGATTCATCCCGAGTCATAGAGCCAGGACCCCCTCACCAACGGTGCCATTCTGTGCAGTGTGTGACAGCTTGTTGTCCTGGGTTGGTGTCATTCGCGAACAAGGGCACCTCATTCATCTTGAAGGCCCTCCGGAGAAGAGCCCAGCCTTGGGATTCCTCCTCGGTGGAGCCACCGTCCCACCCACCTGACAATGGGTCCCAGCTGCAGGATGTGGAGCAGCAACACCAGCGGCCTGTCCCGGCTGAGGTCGCGGTGGATGAAGACGAGGCTGAACTGGACCAGGATGCAAGGCAAGAGAGCGAAGAGGAGCGTCAGCGATTGCCAAATGCGGTCACCAGCCGAGCGGTAGGTGCTGCTCAGGTACAAGGCGGTCGCCGTCTCGGCCACGAAGAGGAACAGCGAGACGAGGACGGAGCCCGGGAATTTCATGGCCCCTTTTTTTGCGGCCTGCCCACCGGCAGGCCAACCGGCGGCTCACGGGGCTGCAAGGGAAGGCGGATGCCGTGGCAGGCAGACCCGCAGCGGAGGCCTCCTGACGCCCATCTCCGTCTTCTGCAGCGGCGCTTCGGTTTATTGGGCGAAAAGAGGAGCGACTGGCGCTTGCAATGCATGGCCGCTAGGAGTCAGGCCTGAGCTGGCTGCGGCAGTCGCCGAGAGCGCCGGGCATTTGAGTCCGGCTTTCTGGGCTCGGGGATGAACAAAAGAGCCCCTCTGATGACAGCTCGATTCGTGTGTTAACTCCCGGAGTTTGAGAACAGTGGACTCTTTCTACATGGGGAACAAAGATGGAGGCATCCGGTATTTTTTCCACATGCTGGAGTTTGGCCCTACCTCAAATCAAGCCCAGATATACCCCTTGTTAGTTTGTACAGACAACAGAAGAGGTGGCCTGAATGGTGAAGTCTTTTGATTTTACCCTGAATGTTACTCTCCTTCTCAGAAAGCACTCACTAATAAAGACTCGTCCAACCAGATATTCCACAGACGTCCTAAATACCTGCTGCGAAATAGGATACCCTTTGTATTCCCAGATATCAGGGGAGAATGCTCTTAGAAAGGTTGTGGTGTAGTAGAAGCTCAGTGGACAGAAATTTACCTGGTGACAATTGCCCCCAGTTTCATGGTGGTGGTAAAAGTATACAACTATGTGCTGAGATTGAATTGGCCACTCAGCATTCATCTGAATTGTGTTAAGAAAAAATGGCAATTCCCTTGACGCGAGAAAGCAGGGAATGTATACTTCTGCGTATTCTCTGCAGAGTTGAGTAGCCATGTCTACGTGCTATTTACCAGTCCTAGATCTACTAGCAGAAAAGTTGCCTGCCCATAGAAAACTCTTCCTCACATGGAAGGGAGCAGGAGTGGGTGAGAATGGATGCATAGAATGGTGCTCCATTCCAAGAAGAGCTTTCCTTCAGGCTACTTTTGAACATGGGTTTAAGCGCTCTTTTGAAAGTGGCTGGGAAATTCTGGGAATTGAAATCTACATATCTTAAGGTTGCAAATTTTGGGTTAGGTTGCAAATTTTGGGTTGAGAAACACTATGCTAGATCATATCTATGACAAAAATTACAAAGATGGAAAACACTTCAAAATAAGTAGCTAAATATAACTTTTCAGTAATTGAAAACTGGTTCAAATCTGTATGTAGGATAACATCAGTATAACGGAATAACTAAATAAATAAGTGGAATAACTCTTCACAGTATGGGGTAGGGATGTGAAATATTTTAATAATTTCCAGTAGTCACCAGAATAATAGAAAAAAACAGCTTAGGTAGACTAAAATTAAAGAAGACAATATGGGAGTTTGGTAAAAGCAGGCACATAGGCCTCAGGCTATGGGGATAGAAGACAGTTTTTTTCCAGCAGGTCCTCCAGCTATTATTTGATCCAGAACAGGGGAGAAAGTCTGGGTTGGTAATTGTTTATTAATATAGTACAAAACAAAAGGTACAAAGCAAAGTCCTCATCTGCAAATGTTAAGGCAGCCACTTCCTATGGAAGGATCATACAGTGGTGGGTTTTTGTTTTTGATTTTAGAAAGCTGTCTCTGTAATACTTCCCTTGAGACAAATGGCAAAATTGAGCAGCAGGGTTTCAGTTCATAGAAAGTATCCACAGCGTATGCACCATAGTTCTTTTTTATTTGGATTAAGGAAAACAAGCATATGTACTTTATATAAATAACCTCAATTGGTGGAAGAATTTTGTTATTCTAAACCACTATTTGGATCACCATTTTAAAAAGCTGAAAAAGCATCCTATTCTCTTATATACATACTTCTCTAGTTGACAATACAAAAGTAATATAATAAAGAATATTTTTGAAATAAAGTGTTGAAACTACTATACTGGTAATATTTTTTTTATTTAACATTAAGATACAATTCTACCAGAGAACATTCATCTTAATTTCAACTGACAAGAAGTAGATATCAAAGCTAGGAACAGCTTTGTAATGTATGCAATGTTCATAGCACACTGAAACAAATAGGCAGAGATTAGCAATAGTGGATACATAACAGCAACATAAATTGTTGCTTTTGAAATATGAAATTAATTTTACAATAACTTAATATAGATTGCCATACAACTGGAGCTTTGCAAATATACTCATTTATTAATGTCACAAATAATTCCATGATCTACAATGACTTTAGGCCTGTTCCAAATCCATTTCAGTCAAATACCAAATGAGAGTAGCAATGATATAGTAACAGTAAATTATCCAGAGCTGAAAAGAGAATTCATGTACTGTGCTAAGCCACATTGTTTGGTCATGGAATTTTGTGTTCTGCAAAATAAGTCAAATGTAAATTATGCTTTATGGCTCAGTGTATTAGACAAAAGAGGGTGTTTTTGATGACACTAGATTAAATAAATCATAGCTTAGCACATTTTAGGAATGTAGTTGATAAATGAGAGTTTAAGACTCCACAGTGCTGAAAAGCAAGTGAGCTCTGGCCCATTTTTTTTATTATACACCAGTGAGTAAATATTTTATTAATAATGTAAATGTGATGTGTGTGCTCTCTAACAATACAGAATTAAAAATTAATTAATTAATCTTGTTATTATTGCATTATTTCTTCTTTGCCAGTCATGGTACTAAAGATTAAACATAGGATGAAATGCTTGTGATTAGTTCTCTTTTACATGAAGCTAATTTTAAGACTTTCCTGATTGTTATATACAGTTATTGTGTAGAAAACAATCTATTGTTTGATATAATACTTAGGAATATTACTTCATCATAAAATATTTTTGAAGAAGGAATTTTTTCAAAATGAATTTCTGTGCTGTTACATTA